AACCTTCAATAGCATTTCTTCGGAGAGTGTCAAGATGAGATAGGGTCATAGCATCTAGCAAGTCTGGCGAATGGTCAATAAGCTACCGTTCTCATTCGAAGATAACGGTAGCAACTTTACCTACCGTCCTCTGAAGGCAATAATACTTTCGCAGATTATGCGTATCATCATCTGTTCTATTCAGCTCCGTCCGTTGTTTTCCCATTGTTGTTCCTCATCAAAAAGAGCTTATTTCAATCGGATTCCCAACCAACAAGAAACATTCTGCTCCGAGAATATCCAACTACTATGCTCCAAGTTAAATGCAATGAAATTTCTCGCCAACTTCCCTGGCAAAATTTGAATAACTGATTTGTGCAATCGGAATATGACTTCAAATGTTTCACTGCCTAGCTATCGTCATTGTCATTGTGTGCCATATCAGTCTTATCTTAACTAATCCGACCGTTATTATCGAAAGTTGTCGTGATTTCTGCTCATGTGTGTCTTCCTCGACACGTCAGCATCCTTCATGACAACTCACCAAATTTCGCATTTGGTCAACGGCTTTTGAATGAACATTTGGAAAGCATCTTTCAAAAATGATGTGCTGGAAATGTTTTGTGTTGATTGCGTGTTATCCTGTTAGTTTTGAACCGTGTTTGAAGTGGTTTGTTTATGACGTCTGATAGGGATCTAGTTTCAGTCTCAATAGTCTCACAGTCTAATATTTACATGAAGATGTATTTTGTGATACAATTATGTATATCCATACTGGTTTTGATTTATTAATGTAGTTTTTTCCCTGTTCACATTCAAAATAACGCGATTGATGATGAATTTTATCGGTCTAATTAGTTTCAGTAAAATTATAATTGATACTTTTTCAGTGTGTTCTTTCATTAGTGTCGTATTTATTATACCAGATTCGTCATTTGATTATTGTTAGAATATTGTAATTTGGGTGATTATAATCGTTGTTGACATGTGTAATCAGTTGTGTTGATTATGCTGCTCTGCGGCTCAATAACTTAATCATCTTCGTATGTACACGCAATCGAGAACGAATGCCTTCAAAATTTGATTGAGAAGTAAGATTTCTAATATTTTGATTCGATACATTTCTATTTGTGTGTGTGTGCGTGTGGCATGATAAAGAAGATTTTCGTGAAGTATCACATTGCTTGATTCCATTCGAACAAAGGTTCGCTATTAATCAGACGTCGGCTATATGAATCGCCTGGATAATTTATCTCAGATCTCGTTCATTTGATCCCGAACTGAGAGAA